GAAGGCTGTCACACAGAAGTTTCGTAACTCCTTGGGATCCCATTTGTTTCTATTGCCACTATTTCTAGAGTAACTGGTGTACTAGTTAGGAAGTCCCTACTTATGCTTATATACATGGAGATGTTTCTCTGGCTTTTTCTTCTAGCACTTTCAGAGTTTCACGTCTTATAGTATTATTTATTTATTTATTTATTTAAAATTCTTTTCATTTTGCATACCAACCCCAGTACCCATCTCTCCCCTTCTCCCATCCCCAGCCTCACCCCATCTCACCCCCATTCACTCCTAAAGAGAGGGTATGGCCTCCCTTGGGTAGTCAACAAAATCTGGCATAAAAGCCTGAGGTAGGATCAAACCCTTCCCGCCTGTATCAATGGCGAGCAAGATATCCCACTGTAGGGAATGGACTCCAAAAAGTCAATTCATGCACCCAGGATAAGTTCTGATCCCCCAACTGAGCCATCTCGACATCTCATGTTTCAATCCCCGACCCCTCTCTTCTAGCCCCCTCCAAATTTACACAGGATATCTGAACTATTTCCCTTTCCTGGGTCCTTCCATTTATGCCTCTCTTAGGGTCCTCCTTTTTTACCTAGCTTCTCTGGGGTTGTGGATTGTAGTTTGGTTATCCTTTGCTTTATGCCTAATATCTACTTATGAGTGAGTACATACCATGTTTGTCTTTCTGGGTTACCTCAGTCAGGATGATTTTTTCTAGTTCCATTCATATACCTGCAAATTTCAAGATTTCATTGCTTTATTCAGCTGAATAATACTCCATTTTGTACATGTACCACATTTTCTTTAACTGTTCTTTGGTTGAGGGGCATCTAGATGTTTCCAGGTTCTGGCTATGGAAAACAATGCTGCTATGAACATTTCCATTTCTTTTAAGTTTTCCAATTTTGTGCTATACATGTTTTTGAAGTATGATCTAATGATTCTCTGGATTTCGTCAGTGTCTGTTGTTATGCTCCCTTTTCATTTCTGATTTTGTTAATTGGGATATTTTCTTTCTGTCTTTTGGTTAGTTTGGATAAGAATTTGTCTATCTTGTTGATTTTCTTGAAGGACCAACTCTTTGTTTCATTGATCCTTTGTTTTGTTCTCTTTGTTTCTATTTTATTCATTTCAGACCTCAATTTGATTATTTCCTGTGCTATACTCCTCTTGGATGAGCTTTCTTCTTTTTGTTCTAGAGCTTTCAGGTGTGCTGTTAAGTTGCTAGTGTGAGTTTTCTCCATGTTCATTATGTAGGCATTTAGTGCTATGAAATTTTCTCTTAACACTGTTTTCATAGTGTCCCATGTTTTGGTATTTTGTACTTTCATTTTTGTTGAATTCTAGGAAGTCTTTAATTTCTTTCCTTATTTCTTCTTTGACCCAGTGATGATTCAGTTGAGTGTTATTTAGTTTCCCTGAATATTTAGGCTTTCTGCAATTTGTGTTGTTGTTGTTTTCTAACTTTAAGCCATGGTGATTCAATAAGATACAGGGAATTATTTGAATTTTTTGGTATCTATTGAGATTTTCTTTGTGACTGAGTATGTGGTGAACTTTAGAGAAGGTTCCATGAGGTGCTGAGAAAAGGATATACTCTTTTGTGTTTGAATGGAATATTCTATAGATGTTTGTTAACAAGTACATAATTATGACAATACTAGTTAGTTTTATGTCAACTTGACATAAGCTTAAGGCATCTGAGAGGAGGAAGCCTCAATTTAGAAAATGACTCTATAACATATAATAATCAAAACACTAAACATATAGAATAAAGAAATAATATTAAGAGCTGCAAATGAAAAAAAGCCAAGTGGTGTGTAAAGGTAGACCTATCGGAATTATACCCAAATTCTCATTGGAAACTGAAAGCCAAAAGGTCCTGGACAGATGTTCTACAGACACTGAGAGATAACAGATGCCAGCAGAGACTACTATACGCAGCAAATCTTTCAATCACCACAGACGGAGAAAAGAAGATATTCCATGACAAAACAGATTTAAACAATTCCTATCTACACATCCAGTCCTACAGAAAGTACTAAAAAGAAAACTCCAACCCAAGGAAGTTAGCTATACCCACAAAACACAAGCAATTAATAACCTCACTCTGGCAAATCCCAAAGAAGGGAAACATACCAACACTACCACCACCAGTAAAAAAATCAAAAGTAAGAAGATTTAACTAACTTTGGTCATTAATATCTCTTAATGTCAATTACTCAATTTGCCTCTAAAAAGACAAAGGCTAACAGAATGGGTATGAAAAATGCTGTATAGAAAAAACACACCTCAACCACAAAGAGAGACATTCCTTCAGAGTAAAAGTTTTCAAAATATTTTCCAATCAATAGACCTAAGAAACATGCCAGTTTAACTATGCTAATACATAACAAAATAGATTTCAAATGAAAATTAATCAAAAGAGATGGAGAAGGACATGTCATTCATCACAGGAAAAAAATTGTCAAGATAAAGTCTTACTTCTGAACATTTATGCCTCAAATATAAGGGTACCCACATTAGTAAAAGAAACATTACTAAACTTTAAATCACAATTCAAGCACCACACATTAAAGTGAAAGACTTCAACACCCAACTCTTTCCAATAGACAAGTCTGCCAGACAGAAACTTAACAGAGAAACAGGGGAGCTAACAGGTGTTATGACTCAAATCAACTTAACAGACATCTATAGAACATTCCACCCAAACACAAAATGATATACTTTCTTCTTCACACCTCATGGAACCTTCTCTAAAATTGAGTACATATTCGGTCACAAAGCAAACCTCAACAGATACAAAAAAAATTGGAACAACTCCCTTTATTTTATCAGATCCCCATGGCTTAAAGCTAAAATTCAACAACACTAATTAAAGAAAGCTTACAAATTCATGGAAATTGAACAATGTTTAACTGAATCATCCTTGGGTCAAGGAAGAAAGAAATAAAGAAAGAAATTTAAGACTTCCTAGAATTCAGATCTTCCATGAAAAAGGTCACAAACCTATTGGAGTTGGTATTTATAAGGGTGAAAGGTGGAGGAGAACTAGTTGTAGTTTTCTCCATGTGGATGAATAACTTGGCTTTAGAGCACTATTTGCTTAAGAGACTATATTTTCTTCAGTGGATATTTTTGTCAAAAATTGGGTCATTGTAACTGTATCAGTTTATATTTGGATTCTCTCTTCTGTGTCACTGATCTTTGTGTTTGTCTTTATGCCAGTACATTCCTATTTTTGTTACTATGTTTCTGTAGTATATTGAAACCAGGTATGACCATACCTCCAGCAATATTCTTTTTGCTCAGTATTGCTTTATCTATCCAAGGATTTTTATGTTTCCCCGTGAATTTTAAGATTGTGTGCTTTTTTCTGTGACTAATAGAGTTGAAATTTAATGTAGATTGCATTGACTCTATATATTGATTGCTTTGGGCTATATGCTCATTTTAGCAAGATTAATTCTTCCATTCCATAACTATGTAAGATCTTTCAATTTTCTAGTGTCTTTCACAACTTCTTTGTTTAGCATTTTAAAAGTTATTGTTGTAGAGGTGTCTTGGGTATTTTTCTATTGCTATGGTAAAATACCTCCCATGACAAAAAGCAACTCAAGGAGGAAAGGGTTTATTTCATCTCCCTGCTCTATATTACAGTCCATCATCAAAGGAAGTTAGGGGAGGAAACTGAAGGCAGGAACTGAAGCAAAAGCTGTGGATTAATGCTGCCTAGTGGCTTGCTCTTCAAGGCTTGTTTAACCCGCTTTCTTTTAGAACCCATGGGTAGCATCACATACAATGTACTGAGCCCTCCAATATAAATAAATCATGAAACAAGAAAATGTTCCAGTCTCGCCCACAGGGCACTCTGGAGCATTTTATCCACTGATGTTCCCCTTTTCCAAGGACTCTAGTTTGTTTCAAGTTAAGAAAAAACTAAGCAATACAAGTCATCCCTCACATTCTTGTAAGGTTTATAATAAGAGATTTGCAAGGTAATTATGAATGAGGTATTTTTTGTAATTTTTAGAGTGTTTTTGTATAAAGGAAGACTATTGATGATTTTCAAGTTAATTTTATTTCCTGCTAGTTTTCTATAAGTGTTTGACAGATTTAAGAATTTTAAAAGTGTTTATATGTCTTTCAGTATATATACACAAACATATATGTATACACACACACACACACATATAGCACTTTTATTTTTGTTTCTTGTCCTATCAATCTAGCTAGAGATAAAAGATTTTATTGAATAAAAATGGATAATGTAGCCAGTGTTGTCTTGTTCTGATTATAGTTCTGGCTATAAGGTTGTCATAGATAGGTTTTCATGTTGAGATGCATTTTTTTATTCCTAGTTTCTTCATGGATTTTATCATGATGGGACATTAGATTTTCTCAAAAGACTTATGCATTACTTGACATGGTCCTTTGATATATCTTGAGTCTATTTGTGTGATGTATTATATTCACTAACTGTCGGGGGGAACATTGGAAGAATTAGACAATAGAGACAGCAGAAAGAAGGGCCTTTATGAGTAAAAATCAAACTCAAAGCATATTGTACATTTGTGTGAAAGATATCATTGTATGAATGGTTAGCCATGTACAATATGTGTTTGTATATTTGTATATATGTATATATACACACATGTACACATAAATAGTCAGACAAACAGCCACTGGGTTTATTAGAATAGGCCCAAGATTCTGGCATGGAGGGCATATTCCCTGCTCCTACATGGTTCATGTGAAGATGAACTCACAATGGAATGATTATACAGAATTAAGAGAATCTAAAGTACAGGTGAGGACAAAGTACTAAGGGAAGTTAATCACCATGTTGGCAGTACTCTGAGTGGCAAAATATTGCTTAAGAATGTAATAAAAATTGGAAAAATTATATAGAAGAATGTAAATGAAGGTATATGTACTTATTTATAAAAAGAGCATAATGTTGGTGGGTTTTGAGTTATGTTGGTACCATGTTGTTACAGAAATACACTGTGATGAAATGCTTCTGTCTGTTGCCAAAATGAACACTGAAGAAAAATGAAGAAAACTGAAGAATTCTGCCAAAAAGTTGCACAACTGAAGTAGCCAAACTCTTCTGGAGTCTTTTATCCACAGCCATCATTTTAAAAAAGTAAGGAAATATATTATGACTTTGCCCTTTTAAATTTTTGTTTAATTTATACAATACTAAATAAAACATAAAAATTCAGTTCTTAACAATAAAGTGTTTAATGGTTCACTTCTGCATGTTTGCAGTGTGCTCTGGGCTCTAGGAATACAGTAATAAATTAAAACATGAAAACTGTGGTATTGAAGTAAGCGGCAGTATAATGTTGGAAGGGTTAAGTATGTAAATGAGTAGGAAGAAAAAATAGTAGTCACTGATTGTGTTTATGAACATGGTATACAGTCTGGTAAGGCAAAGCATGGAAGAGAGACTACTTGCAAATTGTTCTTTGCTTTCTGCATGATTCCTGACAACTGGACACGTTGTTGCAGAAATATCTGGAGGTGCTGACATTACCTTGTGTTATTATGATCGTTTTATGTTTTTCAAATATAAGCAAGCTATTTTATTTGTGTGCATGGGCTCTCTCCCCCTACGGCAGTGTTCAAAATATCAACCCTGGACATAGGGATGATGAGATTTTTATAGCTTGGGTGGTAGGGGATTTTCCAAATGGGGAATTTGTCAGGCAAATAAGGGGTGGTGGGAGGTGGGGTTTTACAGAAGCAGAATATAAATGTAGAAAGTTGGCCATAAAAACCTGAAACAAAGGCATGGTTACGTGGCAGCTATAACAAAGTGATCACAACCTCTTGAAACAAAGTCATGGTTGTCATTTCCTGGAAAAGGCAGCACAGAATCATTAATAACTAGTGTAATAAGTGAGCATAGATCAATCTTTAAAGAACAGATTTAACCATAAACAGAAATGAACCTAGTTTGTCTTTACTATAAAACTGCTTTTAAGCCCAAGATGGGGGCAGGCTGGTTTATCAGTAGACCCATGGGAAAGCAATGCCTTGGGAGCATTTGTCAGGTTTAAAAGATTAGGTTAAGAAACCAACAGACTGGAGAGGGAGGGGGAGAGGAGTGGGGCGAGGGGGAGAAGGGTGGGAGGAGGGGGAGGGAAATGGGAGGCTGGGAAGAGGCGGAAACTTTTTTTTCTTTTTCTCAATAAAAAATTAAAAAAGAAAAAAAGAAACCAACAGGGTAAGTCCTGGAACACAAGACTGGAGAAGAATGGCAGGGAAACAGAGACATGAAACCAATGCATGTGAAAACTGAAAACCAAACCACGTGTTAACTAAGCAAACAAAGCAAAGACAGGTAATCTCCTTCTCTGTCACTCTGTCTCTCTCTGTCTCTCTGTCCCCCCAAACACACAAGCACACATGCATAAATACACACACACATATGTACACACACATACACACACCTAGTCATTCTTAGCTGCAGTCATTGCATTCCAAACTTAACTATGAGACTGTGCCTCAAAACCAAACAAAATCAACAAAACTAAAGTAAGACAACCATTTATGAGTATAGATTCATGGACAAATGAAAACTTAGTTTGAGGGTAAACGGAAATCAAACAACAAGAACTTGGTATCAGTTACCCAAGAGAAGAAAGAGGCACAACTGCTAAGGAAAACTACCATTGAGCAGTATAAGAATAAGAATATAGAAAAGTAGGTTCCAGAAATAGGAATGTAAAAATACAGACTTATAAAGTTGTAAGCCTAGGAGAATGAGAGCAGACTTTCAACATCTTTTTTGAGTAGCTTAAGGATTAACTATTAACAGTGGGTTACTTTGCTTTACGACGTATAGCTCTGTTTTAAAGGCTGAAGTGGCCCTCTGCAAACTGGGGGTTCCTATGCAAACTGAGGGTCAGTTTTTATAGATAATGCCCCCACTCCTGGGCATGACCAGCATCTTACTTAAGCCAACTTTTTATTATTGTTTTATTGAATTATATTTTTTAGCAGCTCCCCTCCCTTCTTCCCCCTGCTTTTCTACCCTCTCCCCTGATCCTGTTCCCAATTCACTCAGGAGATCTTGCCTTTTTCTACGTCCCATGTAGATTATATCCATGTATGTCTCTCTTAGGGTACTCTTTGTTGTCTAAGTTCTCCGGGATTGTGAATTGTAGACTCGTTTTTCTTTGGTTAATTTCAAAAAAGCACTCATGAGTGAGTACATATTATATTTGTATTTTTGAACCTGGGTTACTTCACTCAATATGATGTTTTCTAGATCCATCCATTTGCCTGCAAATAAAGGTGTCATTTTTTTCTGCTGTGTTGTACTCTGTTGTGTAAATGTACCACATTTTCCTTATCCATTCTTCAGTCGAGGGGCATTTAGGTTGTTTCCAGGTTCTAGCTATAACGAATAACGATGCTATGAACATAGTTGCGCACATGTCATTGTGGTATGATTGAGCATCCTTTCTGTATATACCCAACAGTAGTATTGCTGGGTCTTGAGGAAGGTTGTTTCCTAATTTTCTGAGAAATTGCCACACTGATATCCAAAAGGGCTGTACCAGCTTGCACTCCCACCAGCAATGCAGGAGTGTTCCTTTTACCCCACAGCCTCTCCAGCATAAGTTGTCATCAGAAATTTTTAATTTTGACGATTCTTACAGGTATAAGACGGAATCTCAGAGTTGTTTTGATTTTCATTTCTCTGATGACTAACGATGTTGAACATTTCCTTAAGTGTCTTTCAGTCATTTTAGATTCCTCTGTTGAAAGTCCTCTTTTTGTCTGTACCCCATTTTTTATTGGATTATTTTTTTTCTTTTTGATGTCAAGTTTTTTGAGTTCTTTGTATATTTTGGAGATCATTCCTCTGTCAGATATGTGGTTGGTGAAGGTCTTTTCCCATTGTGTAGGCTGCCATTTTGTCTTGTTGATAATGTCCTTTGTTTTATAGAAGCTTCTCAGTTTCAGGAGATCCAATTTATTAATTGTTGCTATCAAAGTCTGTGCTACTGGGGTTATATTTAGGAAGTGGTCTCCTGTGCCAATGTTTTCAAGCGTACTTCCTACTTTCCCTTCTATGAGTTTCATTATGGTTGGTTTTATGTTGAGGTCTTTGATCTATTTGAACTTGAGTTTTGTGCATGGCTATAGATGCAGATCTATTTTCATTCTTCTATATGTTGATATCCAGTTATGCCAGCACCATTTGTTGAATATGCTTTCTTTTTTCCATTTGATATTTTTTGTTTCTTTGTCAAAAATCAGGTGTTTATAGGTGTGTGGATTTGTATCTGGGTCTTTGATTAAGTTACATTGGTCCTCCTCTCTGTTTTATGCCAATACCAGGCTGTTTTCAGGACTGTAGCTCTGTAGTAGAGTTTGAAGTCAGGAATTGTGATGCCTCCTGAAGTTCCTTTATTGTACAGGATTGTTTTAGCTCTACTGGATTTTTTGTTCTTCCATATGCAGTTGAGTATTATTCTTTCAAGGTCTGTGAAGAAGTTTGCTGGGATTTTGATAGGTATTGCATTGAATCTGTAGATTGCTTTTGGTAAGATTACCATTTTTACTATGTTAATTCTAAATACCCAGGATAATGGGAGATCTTTCCATTTCTGGTGCCTTCATCAAGCTTTTTCTTCAAAGATTTAAGAAAGAGAATTACAGACCAATCTAACTCATGAACATTGAAGCAAAAATACTCACAAAATACTGGCTATCCAAATTCAAAAACACATCAGAAACATTATCACCATAATCAAGTTGGCTTCATCCCAGAGATACAGGGATGGTTCAACACAGGAAAATCTATTAATGTAATCCACCATCTAAACAAACTGAAAAATAAAATGATCATCTTCTTAGATGCTGAAAACACGTTTGACAAAATACAATATCCCTTCATGATAAAGGTCTTGAAGAGAGCAGGGATATAAGGAACATACCTAAATATAATAAAGAAAATATACAGCAAGCCAACAGTAAACATCAAACTAAATGGAGACAAACTCACAATGATCCCACCAAAATCAGAAACAAGACAAGGTTGTCCACTCTCTCCATATCTATTCAATATAGTGCTTGAGGTTCTAGCTAGATCAATAAGACAACAAAAGGAGATCAAACAGATACAAATCAGAAAAGAAGAAGTCAAACTCTCATTATTTGCTGATGATGTGATAGTTTACATAAGTGACCTCAAAATTCTACCAAGGAACTTCTACAACTCATAAATACCTTCAGTAATATAGCAGGATACAAAATTATCTTTAAAAAATCAGTATCCTTTCTTTATACAGATGATAAATGGGCTGAGAAAGAAATCAGAGAAGCAGCACTCTTCACAAGAGCCACAAATAACATAAAATATCTTGGAGTTACTCTAACCAAACAAGTGGAAGACCTGTATGACAAGAATATTATGATCATTTTATACATATGATTTCTGCTTATACAAGAATTTTTCAGAGAAATGCAGGAATGAATTATGTTAGGATAGGAGATAAAGGTGACAAAACACCACAGTTTCTTGGAACTAAGGATTTCCCAGGATTCAAGGTGATTTTTGCTAAAAATAGGGTAGGCTCGGGCAAAATGGTATAACTGATCATTGCAAATGCATGCATGCCTCTTTTATACATGCTATAAGCTTTTTCCCATGGAAGTGCATTCACAATGCCAACAAGCAGTCTGTGAGTGTTTCCATTCAACACTGTTTTCTTCATGCCGTATGTTCTCAACATCTTAACTTTTGCCAATCAGTTGAGTGTGAAATGGAATCTTGCTGTAATTTGATTTCCCTGGTTACTAATGAGGTTTGGCATCTTTTCATGTATTGTTCGCTGTTTGGTGTTTGCTCTTCTGTGAAGTACCTTCCTTATTCCCATCTTGTTTTCCTATGGGTTGTGTTATCAGATTCATCTTATGCACCTTGTAAGAGTCTCTCTTGGTGTTACCGCCATTTACACTCTATAGCAGTAGCACTAATAGCATTTTAGATTGAATAGTTCTTTTTGTGGGATAGCATCATGATTAGCAGTCTCCTTGGTTCTTACCCACTATCTGCAATAGCATCCCATTTGAGAGAATAAAAAAACAAAGCTCCTACCATAAAAATATCTCTAGTCCAATGGT